GAAGATGTAAATGGGGAGTCACAGGGAAACGTAGGATAGCTGTTGTTGTAGGGAGGGGATTGTAATCATTCAGATGAAACAGAGTGTATGATTGGTTGGATATATAGCTGATGATCTTGTCTGTGGGCCAGTGACCCTGTATATGGTTTCGAGGAATTGACCTTGTGGTTAGCAGCCCAGCACTTACCCTACAATGCCACACCAGAACACCACTGTTGTTGTTAAAAGCTGTCGAGTCGGTTCCAACTCAGAGACCCCATACAGGGGATTTCCAAGGAGCAGCTGGTAGGTTTGAACAACCAACCTTGTGGTTTGCAGTTCAGTGCTAATCGTACAGCACCATACCAGAAGTTCTAGGACACCATTAGAGAGATGCAAATCAAAACTACAATGAGATCATCTCACCCTTGCAAAACTGGCACTGATTACAACAAAAACAGGAAATAACAAATGCTGGTGAGGTTGTTGGGAAATTGAAACTCTTATACACCGTTGGCTAGACTCTTAATGGCACAACCGCTAAGGAATATTTGGTGCTTCCTCAAAAAGCTAGGAGTAGAAATACCTTATGATCCAGCAAATGTCACTCCTAGTAATATATCCTAGAATTTTAAGAGTGGTGACACAAATAGACATATGCACACTGCAACATGATTCACAGTAACAAAAAGAAACAATCTAAGTGCTATCAATAATGAATGGATAGCAAAATGTGGTACACACATATGACGGCACACTACACAGCAATAAAGAATTAACAACGAGTCTGAGAAACAGTGCACACAACGTAAATGAATCTGGAGACCATCATGAAATGAAGTAAGTCCAATACAAAGACAAATACTGCATGGTATCAGTTCTATAGAATGTCAAGAATAAACAAACACAGAAAACAGTAAGGCTCTCTGATGATTACCAGGGAAGGGAGGGGAATCATTTACTAGGTAGCAGACACATGATAATTCTGGTGATGAAAAAGGTAATACACAATATGGGAGAAATCAGCACAACTTGACCAAGGTAAATGAAGACACTGAGAAGTACTCAGTATAAAGGACAACTAGTTCGAAACTACCAGTTGTTCGGCGGGAGAAAGATAAGGCGTTCTGCTCCCATAAAGATTTATAGCCTCAGAAACACAGTGCAGGGTCACTATGAATCAGAACTGACTCCATGGTACTTAACAACCACAACACAGTAAATGCTGTAGTATCGACAATCTTGCAAAAACAGTACTAATAACCAAAAAGTATTTGAGTGGTTACATAGTGCATATGGTTAATTACTTAATATGGTCTTTCTAGCCATATCCCTCCATTTTGTGATGTGTTGTAAAATCCAGTCTCTGTGCCTTTGGTTATGGTCCCATTTTGGAAGGCGTTGTTGTATTAATGAGGCAGGGTTAAGGTGGACTATATCTTGAGTCCCCAACCGACCATAGGTGACTCAAATCACCATCCTTAGTGTCTTTGGGGTGTGGTTTCCATCCAATGTATAGGTATCCTTTGGCAAAGTTCGCTGTCTTGCTCTGGATCTTGTGTCTGGCTCACTCATGCCTGATCTCCACTTCTTGGACTCGAAGTGGGCCTATCACCTGACCTAATTTCAGCAGTTTCCAGTCTTGTGAGTCAACAGCTTTATGTGGAGTGAGTGAGAAGACTCTTCCCAGACTGACATCTAAACTACAGATTTGGGACTTGTCAGTCATACCAGTTTCGTGAGCCATTTCCTTGACTATTAAGAGTTCTGAGACACTGAAGCAAACTTCAGAGTCTTGGGACATGAGGGAGAATATTGTGGGGAGCGGTGGGGTTTAATACCAGGGATTATGGAGTGGTGCGCCATTTTGAAATAGCTGGGATATCTTTTTAACTTCCATATCACAAGGACCAGCTTCCTGCTGAAGCTTCTAAACTATTCTTGCACATAGGTAGATACATATAATATGTGGGAAGGCATATGTGAGGACATGAGTGTGAACATACATTTGTGAGCATATACATGTTTATATTGTGCATATGTGTGTGTATATAGACATACAATTGAGCACATGAGATGTTCATAGCCAGAAATACTTCCTAGAGATTCCAAACACCTTGGGGAATCGATGTACTGAGTTTGAAGGTTCAGGACCAGTCTTGTGGAACAACTACGTCAATGGGCGTAACTTAGTTTACAGACATATGCATACCCATCCTAGTTCGGTGAGGACTGCCTGGGGTCTTAAAAGCTTACAAGTGGTCTTTAGATAAAATTACTGGTCTCTGTCTGTTTCAAGCAAATTAAAAGACTCAAGGAAGAATCTGATCAATGGGACTAAGGGCCCACGAAAAGTACAGCCTCCTTTAACATGAGACAGAAGAATTAGATGAGGAAAGGAGCTCTGGTAGCATAGTGGTTACGAATCGGGCTGCGAACCTTAAGGTCAGCGGTTCGAAACTACCAGCCGCTCTGTGGGAGAAAGATGAGGCTTTCTACTCCCGTAAGGATTTACACTCTCGGAAACCCTGTACAGGGTCGCTATGGGTCGGAACCGACTTGACGGCACTTAACAACAACTGCTACTATTACTAACCATGAACACAACAGAAGGTCCTACTAGAATGGGAGAAAAGTGCAGAATAAAACTCAAATTTATAAAAAAAAAAAAAAAAAAAGGCCAGACATACTAGACTGAAAAACTATCACCCTAAGACACCTTTTACAACTAGGAACTGAAGTCACTCAAAGGCTATCTGTCAGTCAAATAATTGTTGTTGTTGTTGTGTGTCGTCGAGTTGGTTACGACTCACAGCAGCCCTATTTAGTGTTCCAAGGAGCAACTGGTGGGCTTGAACCACCAATCTTGTGGTTAGCAGTCCAGTATTTATCCTATAGTGCAAAACCAGTAATCCAAATTCCAGATTGGCCTATAAACAATAACATCTGTGAGGAATGAGCTCCTTTAATCAATCAATTCCACGAAACCAAATGGTCAACACTTACCCAAAAACTTAAGTGAGAAGGTGAGGAGAAGCAGGGTAACTGAACAGATGGAAATGGGGTAGGCAGGCTGGAAAAGGTGAGTGTTGACATGTTATAGGAATTGTAACCAATGTCATGGAACAATCTATCGATTTTTGAATGGGAATCTCATTTGCTATGTAAACTTTCACCTAACCACAAATGGAAAAAAGAAAAAAAAAGTCTGCTGGAACTAATGTTGAGTTTGGCAAAGATGCAGGATACAGTATCAGTATATTAAAAACAAAACAAAATCAACTGTATTTACTATACACTAGCAATGAATAACTAAAAAATTGGGAAAAAAATTTAAAAAGTATGTTGCTGTTGTACATGCCATCAGGTCAGTTTCCACTCATAGCAACTCTGTATAGGGTTTCCAAGGAGCTACTGATGGGTTTGAACCGCCAACCTTGTGGTTAGCAGTTCAGTGCTTATCATATGGTGCCACATCCAGACTCCAATGCCATTTACAATACCACCATAAAATATGACACATGAAGGGATAAATCTGGTACAGCTGCTGCAGTATGTGATGGAAAAAATATCAGACAAGAGTCCTGAGGCCAGGGCCTGAGAGGTTTGTAGTCTAGTGATCTGGAACGAGTCCTTGTCCCAGGACCTTTCCCCCAACATGTATAATAACAGGACTGAATTCCATGGGTAGATTCTCAATGTTCTATATCGTGTACTCTTCTGAAAACTTGGTAAAAGCCAGCTAAGAACGTTCTCAAGGAGAAAAGTGTGCATATTCAGTGAAGCCTCTGAGTGCTAGAACTCAATAGAACCACCTTGTTTTTCCAGGTATTGCAAGTTGTCTGCTTTTGACAGGGTGCAATCTTAAGACTTTTCCTATTGTGCCTTCTCATGAAAAAATATCTGCAATTTCCTTCTCTGAGAGGTTCTGGCTCTCATAGGCTTCACTGACATTTGAAGGAGTCCTGGTGTGGCACTGTGGGTTAATGCACTGGACCACAAAGTCGGTTTGAACTGCAAGGTCAGCAGTTCAAGCTCATCAGCCACTCCTCGGAAACCCTAGACAGGACTAGTATGAGTTGGAACTGACCTGACAGCACTTAACAACAATGGCTCCTATGGCACCTCATCCATAGACCCCAATTAAGAACACCTGACACAAAGACGCTCCAAGATCTCTGCTAGGTCCAGAGTGCTAAAGTTCTAAGCCATTTAGAAACAGCTTGGAAGAAAATTGTGACAGCACCCTAACTGGCACCAACATCCCCCCACACTGACCAGTTTGATGGAGGTGGGGTTCTCCACGACTGAGTAGGCTTGTAGAGGCAACATGATGAACTGTGTGGCTGGTGCAGAGGAGCCACCCTCACTGCAGTCCTGTGGGTACACGGAGACAAGGCCGTTTCAGTGAAATGACGGAGGGAAGAGCACCCAGGGCCACCTGTAACACTGACTGGATGATCAAGTCAAATAACCAAACATACAACGTGTTTAGCTACAAAGGACTCAAAAAGTATCTCCTCTCCCCCAGCAAATAAGTTTAATGAAAACCATTACCAAGGTAAATACTATGCATTTTACAGGTGAGAAAACTAACGTGCTGTAAGACTTAAGAACCAACATCACTCAAATAGGTCATCAGAGAACCAATCCATTGCTTCTGACCCGATCAGATGCGCTAAGCACTCATCAGTCTGCCTTCACCAGGCCAGCTGCATGCTTCATTATCAATAGAAGTCACAAAGGAAAGACAGGGCTACCTCCTTGAATCTTTCCATTATGGCGGCTGCAGCATGCAGGTCCCCTCACTTCTCAGAGGATGCCATCCTACCCAGTGTAATACAGGTGAAGCTAACCACAAGGCCCCCAGGAACCTGGGGGACCAATCTGTAGGGTCACTGCAACTTTCTCTTTAACTGGTCATGAGGCTCAGGCCACTGGAGAGACTTGCCTCCTGTTTCTCAAACATCCATCCTATCCATCTGGCCTTGAAGAGAACTTCCTCCTTCTTACTCACTCTATACTCAGGAAGACCTTTAGAAAATTCTTATATACTGTTCAAGGTTTCACTGCATTTGTTTTAATAAATAGTCTTCTGGAAAAGCAAATCCTGACTGATGCTAACAACCTGAAAGATCTTGGCTTTATTTGGTTCATGGATTGCCCTAATAACCATTTTCCATCACTGGCTAATGGACCTTATATGTCATCATGTGAAGAAAGCGCTGGATAAACTGGGCAAAGAGGAGTTGGTGGGCATGCCTGAGAACCTGAAGAGGGAATACTCTGGAGTAAGCCCGCAAACAGGCCACTGGAGGTGTCACACCAGTCCTCTCAGAATCACAACGTATGGTGGCAACCATCTTTTTAGTAATTCCAGATAAAAGCAAAAGACATTAGTACCAAAGTCACTTACTCTCATGACTGTTACCAGTGACACACTCTCCCCAACCTGGGAGTGAGGCACAGCCAGGCTTCTAGTAGGGAGGTCTGATGAGCCATTCATTAAAGTTTCTTCAATTACCAGGCTTGTCTGGTAGGGCTGCTGGCTCTCCCCTACCTCCAGGGAAGCCTCTTCCAGAAGCACATCCTGGCTGAGGATCTCTGAAGTGGTTATCTCCTGTACAGCACCTGGCTGGGCAAGGGCTCCCACCTCTTCAGTCAGGGCCTCCACAGCCAGGCACTGCTCTGCCATGCCTGCATGGCTGGCCACTGTCTCCGAGGCAGTGTTGGACACAAGAGGCGTTCCTTTGGAGGACATCTGGTTCTGGGCCACACAGAGCTCCAGCTGAGGGTAGCTCCGGTCTTCTTGCAGGCTGTTCTTAGGGATGATGATGTAATCTGAGCGGGGGAGGATCTTGCGGAAGCCTGGGATGTCCGGAACCACAGCAGTCAGTGTAGAGAGCTTAGAATTCTAAGGATGAAAAGGCCAGGAAAGGGAAGACAAGCAGAAATACATGAACTAGGACCACAAGATATATATTTACGAACTCTTTTTTTTTTTCCAGCAGAAAGAACAAGACTCTACTCTTTGACCTAAGACTCAGATAGGGTCAGCCTGACAACAATGTCATCTGGACTTGAATCAACGCTGTTACAGAAAACAAGGACTAGACTCAGCAAAGGACACTGATCTTGGCATCTGAAACCCTGACCTGGAGCCCCAGGTCTGACCCTCTTGAAAAATTCCTTTCTCTTCTTTAGGCCTCAGCTGCCCCATCTATAAAACAAGGGGGCTGACATCTTCAACCTATCACTCATTGGTTTTGCTATAAAGGGGGGGTTAGCATTTGCCCAGTGAAATAGGCTTCTTGGTAAGCCTTTGTAGAGTATAGGCCTCAAGTAGAATCCTGAGCCCCATCCAGAACTTTCTGAGCTGGGACATTTGCATTTGAAGACATGCAGACCAACCCAGAACTGCTGGGAGAACAGAAAGATTTGCAGGGAAAAAAAAAAAGCAGACTGTTTGGCTTTTTGAGTTTCATGAGTTTCAAGCAAGCAGTTTGCTTTGGAGGCATCAAGGCAAGAAAAGTCAGCCCATCAGGAAAAATCCCCTTCTAGGCCTGGCTGCTTATTAATTTTGTTTTTGGAAGTCATTTTACCTCCCTGAGCTTCAGCCTCATTTCCTCACTTGATAAATAGAAAATATTTTGTTAAGTGCCATCAAGTCAGTCCCAACCAATAGCGACCCTGTATAGGGTTTCTGAGGAGCAGCTGGTAAGCTTGAACCACTGACCTTGTTGTTCAAACCAAGTTTACAGTTCATCACATTAACCCATGGTGCCACACCAGAACATAATAAATAGTACCTAATTTGCAATCATATTTTTGTTTCTAAGGTAAAGTAAGATTATGGATTTCAAAGTATTTTCTAAACTTTATGATCCATCAAGAAGGAAGAACATGAACAGAGTGTGAGATCCCCTACCTAGAAAAATGGTGACAGCATAAATGGTGGCAGAGGTGGTGGCAAGGAGAGACAGAGCAGCTGCAGGTTCGAAGTTCATGGACTGAGTAAGGCTGTGTACCTGTGGGCAGGATTTTGGCTTGCAGAATGTACCCTTTCAACATTTAAATTAATATATATTGTTTTGTATGTGTATATCAAATATTTTTTGCTTTGTTCATTTGTGAAATATAAAATGTAAGTGGGGAACCACAGGGAGGAAGTAGGAGAACTATTGTTGCAGGGAGAGGATTGAAATAACTGAGATGAAACAGTGTATGATTGGTTGAATGTAAAGTTTACAGATCTTGTCTGTAAACCTTCAATTTATAATAGAAACTTTAAAAAAACAAACAAGGGGACTGAACCTGGCTGTTTATAAGTTCCTGTCCAGTTTCTGAACCCTTATTGTTGTCACTAAATGCCACTGAGTCAGTTCTGATCCAAAGCGACCCTATATAGGCTTTCTGAGGAGCAGCTAATGAGTTAGAGCCGCTGAACTTGTGGTTCAAACCAACTTTGCAGTCTAGCACATTAACCTACAGAGCCACACCAGGAGCATCTAAAAATAGGAGAATACTGAAACATCAACATGTATAATTTGTTTGTTTTTGTTATGTGCCGTCGAGTCGGTTCCGACCCATAGCGACCCTGTACAGGGTTTCCGAGGGTGTAAATCCTTACGGGAGTAGAAAGCCTCATCTTTCTCCCGCGGAGCAGCTGGTAGTTTCGAACTGCTGACCTTAAGGTTCGTAGCCCGATTCGTAACCACTACGCTACCAGAGCTCCTTAACATGTATAATACTCTCACACTAAAAAAAACAAACAAACAAAAAAAACAAATCAACAGCCCATATTAGAATCCAAGACAACATGCAAGGATCTTGGTATTACTGGTTTCTCTCAATCTTACAAGTTAACAAGTAGATCATAAAGGCTTTGTGAGAGTGTGCACATAAGAAAGAGGCTACTGGATAAGGGTCTGAATACATCCTTGTTGGTGATGGTGTTAACTGCCATCAACATCAACGGTTCTGACTTACAGCCACACTGTATAGGGTTTCCAAGGAGTGGCTAGTGAGTTTGAACTGCCAGCCTTATGGTTCAAATCAACCTTGTGGTCTAGTGCTTTGTCCCACAGCGCCACACTGAATATACTGCTGTTGTTGTAAAGTGCCATCAAGTTGGTTCCAACTCATAGCGACCCTGTATAGGGTTTCTGAGGAGTGTATTAGGGAAGAAAATATTCATATTAACAGTGACCTAGGACCTTAAAGCCTAGAAAATACTTTCAAATCCATAATCTTATTTTACCTTCAAAACAAAAATATGATTGTCAATTAGGTACTATTATGTTTTCTATTTAGCAAGTAGGGAAATTGAGGCTAAAGTTTAATAAGCAGCCAAGCTGGGACTGCAACCCAGGTACTGAACCAAACCCTACATGACTAACTGGCGCAATAATGGGAGCGTAGGCACAAGGCCAAAAAGGCATTTTTGCTTTTCTTTGGTTTTTCAGACAGCAAATTACTCAACAAGGAATACAGAAAAGTTCAAAGTGAACAGTTAAGTGAGAAATGAAATTAAGTGGAACAACAAAAAAATTCAGAAAGCACATTTTAAAAGGAACACTGAAGTCAATTACAAATGGATCTTTAAATAAATCAAAAGCAAGACGTCGATGAGTCTACTTAGGACACAAAGAAAGAACTCGGAGAGGGAAAGTTAAAAGAAGCACTCAGATGAAACATGAGAGCACACATACTGAATCCTTTACGAAGTCTTTATTGAAGAGGATATGGGGAAACGACACTCTCAAGTCACCCTTTGATGCAGACAGGTCAGAAGGAGTAAGGCTAATAGTGCTAAATCTATAGGGTACTCTGGAGTTAACAAATCCAGCTCAGAGAAAACAGGAGTCTGGATGGCATCTAAGAGCCTAGAAGAACCTATAGGCCCTGCCACGTGTCAGGAGACCTAAATGACTGCTAGAGAAAGCCCACCACAGGGCTTTGATGGGCTCCCAAGGCACGTAGGCAAGAGGGCCTCCCCTTCACAGGAAGCAATCTGGGAGACAAACAGCAAAGAATACAGAGAAGCCTCTCTAACAATGTAGGCAACACAAAGCTCTTCGCCCGGCTGGACAAATTAGTTACAGGTGCTCAATGAATGTTACCTTTTCTTATGATGTGGTCATTGGATATTGCATCTACTAAAGGTTGATATTCAATGACCAAGTCAAAATAAGCCAAAAATTCAGCTACTTGTTTTACATGGAGGATTTTTAAAAAAATAAGTAGACACTATAATCACCATTTTACATATAAGGAAACCAAGGCTCAAAGATTAAGTGATTCTACAATGTCTCTCAGCCAGTTAGTATCAGAGCATAGTTATTCATGTGCTGAGAGGCAGTGGAGAGGATGTTGGACATAAATAAGTATTGGATACAGAAGAATCATTGCAGATGACATTGTTGTTGTTGTTGTGAAGTGCCATAAAGTTGGTTCCAACCCATAGCGACCCTGTACAGGGTTTCCGAGAAGCAGCTGGTGAGCTTGAACCACCGACCTCGCAGTTCAAACGGCTTTGCAGTCTGGCACATTAACCCAAAGCGCCACACCATCAGATGACATAGTACTGACTTTATAATGGGGAAACCAAAGGGAGTATGTGTACTTTTCCTAGGGTAGCCCTGCCTGCCACAGGAAGTCTCCCAGACTCACTGTTTATAAAAATATAATCTAGGAGGGTATCCACAGAGTAGCATCTCTAAGAATTGCAGGCAACACCAAGCTCTTCTAGGAAGAACACCTGTACAATAAGGATAAAATCTAAATAGTATCACAGATGGGCTCCAACAAGGGCAAACAGCCTGTTCTGCTGTAACATAGGTGTTGAATTCTCAAGAAACCTTTGCTCAGCATTATCAAAAAAGAAACTAGAGGCAATTATTTCAATTGAAAAATTGAATTGAGGTTAAAAGGTTTCAGCTTGCAATAACACGGTTATTTTCTCTGCAGAAATTTCAGTTAAAAAAAAAAAAATAGCAGTTTTACAAGCTGCTATTTTGCTATTCTGAATGAGAAATAACAAAAGGGCTCACAGACACAAACCAAAATGCTTCCTTGCTGGTTCTAATTCAAAGCTTATGAAACTTTGCTCCATCAATTTGGCCTTTGACCTTGAATTTTTGCTTCTAGCAATCACCAGTGGTAACAAAAGAATGGGATACTTCACAAAGCAGTTGTAGCACCACTTAAACACCCAAGCCTATAATTCCTGATTAATGTCATATCTGATGGCAGTCCATACAATACAAACCCATTACATTAAAATCAATGTGTGCTATGAAAGCACAGGGTGTAGGAGAAATATCTGTATATTACATACTAGCTACTCACAAGGATAGCAATTCCAACTTACGCAAAACTTAGAAAAGGCTCACTGGAAATACCTTTCGAAAATGTCAGCTCCCTGTACTTCTGGAAGCCAAAGATGACAAAAGAAGGCAGAGCACCATCAAAATGGAAACAAGACAATTTTCAGACTCAAGAAAGACAAAATGACTCAATCAATTCAAAGTTCTCCTTTAAAAAGGAATTAAGAGACTATGAGGTTGGTTTCCCAAGGTCTTCAACTGAGCCAACTGAGAAACTTGTGAAGTGCTATCTACTCGGTTTTGACTCATAGAGGCCACACTGGGACTCCAATACAGAAACTAGTAAGGAGAAAACAAACTACTTACAGGATCCAAGCCTTCTTTCTCTAGTTTGGCTTTCTCCAGGTAGTAACTTCTCTCGGCCACACTGAGAAGTCTCCAGCTCTCACTAATCTTCTTATTGATCTCAGACTGAGGGAGGTGGGGGAGCTCCTGCTGCACTTTCAGGTAGATGTCGTAATAATATAGAAGGTAAGCAGACCTGAGGAAGCAACAACTTCTTAGGGATTGTCCTCATTCAACCAGGCATTATTGTGTTCAAATTGGGGTTGTGAAAAGGTATCTATAAAACCCAACTTCTCACTTCAAAGCATTTGTCTAAATAGGAACTGAAGTCTATGAAAAACAAAAAATCGTTTTTTAAACACTTTCAAAAGGTGTATGGAAGAGGACAAAATGAATGGTAAAGACAGCGAGTCACTGTTCTCTTCAGAAACAAAGGTTCGTTTGGTTTATTTTTCCACAGACTACTCCTTCTGTGGGAATGACTGGTTTTTAAAACCCAGCAGGAGCAAAGAAAGCTACAGGCGTCCCACCATTCCACTGCCAGGGAAAAGCTGCACTGGGACTAACTCCCAAGTGTGGTTATCATACACACTCTTTACTCCTCTACACAGCCTTCGGCCATGGCCATCAGCACCTCCCCAAGGATGCAAAAGGGAAACAAGTAGAACCAACAAAGTGACCTAATGTTGGCAGCCTCAGCAAGAAGTCTCACAAATCAGAGAGGGATTAGAATTACAATCTGGATACTCTCTCTAGATATCAGTGGTATTATTTATAATTCCAGAATGGCATGCATTTTTGAATCTTTAAAAAACAGCAGTAATAAATAATGCAGTTCTCTTGCAAACACTGGCATAAATCCAGTTACGTTCCCTCCCTAACCCCACCAATCCACGTTACACTTAATGAATCTGGAGGCAAAAGTCCTCTGCAGAGCTCTCTAAATGCCTTTTAGTTTTAACATTTTAAATGCAAAGAGTCACCAAAAAGTTTTAACTAACCTGGGTTTCTTGGCCTTTTCTCCATGTATTTTGTACTTTTTCTTCTTCTTGGGTGGCCCAGGGGACGTATAACAATAGGCTTCCTCAATTTCCTCCATCACGACAGTTACCTCAGCACCATCAAATGATGTATCCATGGCTAGAGGAAAGGAAAGTGAAACACAAAGCTTCAGGATTCTACCCTAACAGTGGCAGCAACCTCCTGAACAAACAAAACAATCACTTACCTCTGCCAGTCTTAAGGCTTAGCTGTTTCCCAAACTTAAAATAACTTAAGAACCTGGGGCATTTTTTTAGACATCGATTCCAGGGCTCTACTCAGCCCTTCTGAATTCTAGAGGATATAGGAATCTGTATGCTTAGCAAGTGCCCTAGGCGATTCTTCTGACCAGGCCAATTTGGGTCTCCTGGCTTACAAAAGCCCTTTCACTTCCATTCTCTTGCTGGGTACTCATGGCAACCCTTCACCTGAGATGCATTAGCCCCATGTTACAAAGATTCCATGTGATAACGGGCAGAAAGCATACTTGTCTAGGAGTCAGAAGCTGGGGCCTTCCTTCATAAAGTTCCTCACCCTCAGCAAACAGTTTAGCTGTTTCATTCAGTTCCTCCTGCTAGCACACAGAAAATGCCTATGTGTACGAAATGTCTTTACACTCTGCCAGCTTGAATGATCTGCAGCAGGTCCATTAACTGCTTTAGGTTCAGTTCTCTTCAAAAAATAAAGGAGAGAGAGAATTCTCACTCACTTGACCACAGATCCATAAGAAGTTCCTAGGAGCACCACAGATGTAACTCTATTTGAAGGTAGTCAAATGTTATATAAACGAAAATGAATCATCTGTGGTTTAGAGGAGCTTAAGCATAGTGGTTACGAATCGGGCTGCGAGCCTCAAGGTCAGCAGTTCGAAACTACCAGCTGTTCCGTGGGAGAAAGATGAGGCTTTCTGCTCCCGTAAAGATTTATAGCCTCAGAAACCCTGCACAGGGTTGCTATGAGTCGGAACCGACTCCACGGCACATAACAACAACAACAACCTGACCAAGGCACCAAACCTAAATAGGAACTGAAAGATTTTTTGACTCAGAACTCCAACTCTCTGGGCCTCCTTTCATTACACTACGTTGTTACCTTGCTCTACTGGCAACCCACTGCATCAACGATGTTCAATAGGCTCTCTGCAATCATGTAGATGCTCTGTGCTGCTCAATACAGTAGCCACAAGCCACAGATGGCTATAAGCACTTGCAATGATTAGAGTGAATGAAGAACTGAGTTAATTTTATTCAACTGTGATTCATTTAAACTTAAACAGTCACACATGACTAGCGGCTATACGAGATAGCACAGGTTTAAAGAGTTACCTGACAGACCACGGTTAGCTCTCTGGTGCTGGACTAATAAAGAGAGGATCTACTAACAGCTTTTATGTCTAGGAAAATGAAGGCACAAAAGAACTGAATGACCAGTTCATAAGCTTATTTGTGGCCAAGTTTCAAGTTGGAGTTTACCCATAAGACTCAATGCTTTGAGGGAGAAAAGTTGCCAGACATCATTTTCACACTAAATACATGTTTTCAGAGAGGGAAAATATATAGTTGCTCCTGAAAAACTGTCAGCTAAGAATATAGGGTTCTGGGAATAGGAACCTGTAATAGTTAACCTAGAACTTACTTGTGGAGTACAAAGCACAGTCACATTTTACTTAGCTCACACTCCATAAATAAGCTATCTGATTAAGGTAGAAAGACAAAAAGAACACAGGATCTAGACTTAGGAGATTTGGATGCGAGCCTAAACTTTTTTTAACCATGTGACCTTGGACCCATCAAGTCTATTCCCCACTCTGTTTCAACTATTCTGTGAAATAAGATGAAGCCAATGGTTTCTAAGTTTCTGAAATGCAAGAATTCCTTGACAATGTTGTAAAAACTAAAATCCCCAACCCTAGAAAAACAGACACACATTTCACTTGTAATTTTAAAGACATATTCTAGGTTGTTATTGTTAGATGCCATGCAATTGATTACAACTCATGGCGATTCTATGCGCTGCAGAATACAACTGCTCCACAGGGTTAATTTTAAGGGTCGTGGCCTTTCCAAAACAGACCAGCTTCATGTCTTATGAGGTGCCTGAGTGGGTATGAACTGCCAACCTTTCAGCTAGTAGTTGAGCACTTATCCAGGTTGTTGTTGTTTTTGTTATGTGCCGTGAAGTCAGTTCTGACTCATAGCGATCCTGTACAGGGTTTCCGAGACTGTAAATCTTTACAGGAGCAGAAAGCCTCATCTTTCTCCCGCAGAACAGCTGGTAGCTTCAAACTGCTGACCGTGAGATTAGCAGTCCGATTCGTAATCACTATGCTACCAGAGTTAAGTACATATTATTCCTAGGGTTTCCTCTAATTCTATGTGATTGCTAAATGATTCCTTTTCACATTATGGGGTATGGAGGAGGGGAATTGAAATCTATCATAGCACAACCCAGGAAAAGATGATAACTCTCAACCTACCTGGGTAAGCAACATGTCAGCTATGAGTATGGGAAGCTCACTGCCTTCCAGCCAATTTCAACTTAAAGTGACCCTATATAAGACAGAGAACTACCCCACACGGTTTCCAAAGCTGGAAATCTTTATGGAAGTAGTGGCTAGTGGGTTTCAACCATTCACTTTTCAGTTAGCAGTCAGGTGCTTAACCACTGTGCTACTAGGGCTCCAAGAATAAAGGAGTGAGGAGTTCAAATCAAAGCCTGCATTTTTGGCCTCTAATAATTGACTTCTCATGGAGTTCCGGAACTACTAACCCAACAGCCACTCCTCAGAAACCCTACACTAGGTCACTTTGAATGGGAATTGACTCCACAGCACTTAACAATGGATTTCTCAGTCCTTAAGAGCCGTAATAACAAGTAGGATGTTAGCACCCAGAGCAAAACAAGTTAGAAAATAAAACCACCTTCAGGTGGGGAAAGGATAGGACTATGTGTGTATGTCGCCCTCTCGCTGTCTACCTTGTCTCAAGCCTGGAACGTTTGCTTTTGTATCCTAAGTCTCAGTACAGCAAGGCAAAGAAAAGCAGGATCGTATGTAGGTTAAAATCAAGGGCAGAAGATCTGGGGTTTCAGTTAGGTTGGCCTTGAGCAATCGACTTACCTTCTCTAATCCTAGTGTTCTCACCTGTAAAATACGATTAAAAGCAGTACTTGAAATTTGCAAGATACATTCTCTGGTCTATTACAGCCTCCTAGGAATCTCTAATGATGACCTCTGATGGCTCAGCCATGCATGGGCTCTGGTTTGACTCCGGGCTATATCATTTTCCACTCTGGGTCTCAGACGTCCCAAAGGATTGCCGAGAGGGGACACTAAGACTGACCGGTCCCATTTTGTGGGAGCGGTCACCGAGAGCCACAGCATCCAGTCCAAGGTCGCCCAATGGGGTCCGCAGCGCGATTATCGAGGGCAGGGCTTACCCAGAGGAGCGTGCAGGCCACGCGGCTCACATTCCCGGAGGCGCTCGGCCCGTGGGCTCCGCAAGGGTGCTGCCCGATGCACTCGCGCTCCTCGCTGTCGGCGAGAGGCGGCTCCAGTCGTGACAGCGGCAACAAGGAAGTGGAGGCAAGGGCTCGTGCGCGCATCCCGCGGGCTGGAGGAGCCCCGATCCCGCGGCCCCGCCCGGTGACACTCGGCGCGGAGTCGTGACAGTCCTCTCGCTCCCTGTCTGCGAAGTCGCGATATGAAGTCGTGGAGGACAAGAGGAAAAGCACACGTTCGTCCCGCAGGCCCTTCACCAACGCCTGCCGAGGGCCCCGGGGATCAAACCCCGGGGAGCCCGATGAAGACAGCAGGGACACAGGCGTCGCCGCAGAACAAGTTCGGCGGCGGCGACAGCAGCAGCAGCAGCAGCAGCAGCAGCAGCAGCAGCAGCAGCAGCGGCAGTAACACACCTTGAATCGCCAGGGAGACCCGTCCCGGCGGCCCTCGCGGCTCACCGGAAGCGTCTGGCAGCGCGTGACTGCGTGCGACCCCTCGCGCAAGCGCAACAATCCAACTTTAGCAGGAAGGCGGACCCATCGGAACTGTGTGGAGGCTTCGAGGGGGGCTGCTGAGGCGAAGGACTGCTTCCGGCCAAAGGTCCCGTTAAAGGAAGAAGCTGTGCTGTCGCCGGTGAGTAGCCCCGGCCGCTACGACTCCAGCACAGCTGTAACAAGGTAACAAGGACGGGTCTGCGCCGATCGTAAGAGATCGTGACTCCGCCCAACCTCTCATAGTCACGTTGGGCCGGAGGAAATCCACACAGTACCGTCCTTTCCTCATTTCGGCGTTCAAGGCCTGGCTCCATTTTACTTCAATCCCGCTCCATTAAGAATGCGGTTCATACTCCTTAATTCAGCATCTAGCCTTCCTCCTCATCTCAGTGATCTGCACTCAATTGGTCTCCCCCACCGTCCACGGACATTAAGTAATGATAGCACGGAGCGATTCAAGCCGAGCTAAATGACATGACGGTATGGGAGGCTCCGAGAATCTGATAGGGATTATTCTGTAAGGGTCTTTCTCCCCATGTCACAAATTGTTCCACATTTATACACGTTCCCTCACGATCCTCACTATCTTACAAATGCACTATCCATCACATACTTCTCTCCATCTACCGATATCACCAGGAATCACCAGGAGTAGTGTAGTAGTTACGAGTTGGGCTGCTAATCTCAGGATCAGCAGTTTGAAAGTACCAGCTGTTCCGTGGGAGAAAGATGAGGCTTTTTCTGCTCCCGTAAGGATTTACAGGCTCGGAAACCCTGTACGGGGTCGCTATGAGTCAGAACGACTCCATGGCACACACACCACCACCACCGATGTCACAGCCTTTGAGCCCCATTTTCTATTTGGCCTGAGGTATTTGTTCTTCCTGATTCCATTCTGTTTGTTCCCTCCAAATCTGTTCTCTGCCAAGCAGCCAGATTTATCTTTTTTGAACTTTTAAGTCTGATCATTCCACTCCCTTGCATAAAACCCTCCAGTGTTTTCACTTTCACTTGGAATAAAATTAAAATTTCTTTGCCTGAACTCCAAGACTTAGTCTGGTTTGACTCTTGCCTCGTTCTTTTCCCACATCCCTTAGTAATATCGATCCCCACATCCCTTAGATAGTTCCCAGAACAAACTACATAGCTCTCTTTAGTGTTCAGAACTCTATGTATTGAAACCCCCCTGGGTTTGAATCCCAGCCCTGCCACGTGTAAACTATATAAAGTAACATTCCCACCTCAATAAATGGAGCACCATCCACTGGGTTGAGCAATGCTCAAGTCAGAAATCTGGGAGTTACACCTGACTCCTTGTGTACCTCACATCAAGTCTATCAACAAGACCTGCAAAAGCATAGCCCCGAACTGACTACTACTTGCCATCTCCACTATTACTACTGTAATCCAAGACCAAGCCACCAGTGTCTCATCTGAACTGCTTCTTGACACCCTTCAATTCCATTTTCCACACAGCAGTCCTCTTTCTCCTTGCTTAAAATCCTTCAGTAGCTTCCTATTACAATTAAATAACATTCAAATTGTATGTGACCTACTAATTCTAGTCTGCTTTTACTTTCAGATTTAGGGCCACCTCTTAAAAGACGGAGCGTTGGTAGAGTAGTGGGTTGTGCATTGAGTTGCTAACCGCAAAGTCAGCAGTTCAAATCCACTAGCTGTGCTGCAGCAGAAAGATGAGACTTTCTGCTCCCATAAAAATGGAGTCTCGGAAACCCTATGCAGGGTCATTATGAGTCAGAAACTACTCGAGGGCACACACACACTTAGGAGAATGGACTTTATCCATTAGTTACTCCCAAGGAACTGTTGCTAAAGTTTAAATCTGATCATGTCATTCCTTAGAAAACAAACAACAACCAAAAAACCTCTTATGGCTCCTATGGTCAAGATAGGCCTTTCTGTGACCTGCCTTTAGTTTTTCCCCCAAAGTCTTTTTTTTTTTTTTTGACCATTTAATTTTCTTTAATTCTTCATTGCCTGCACATATATGTATTTCCTTCCATTTCATGAATTCCTATATGTTTATTCTGTAAGACCCAGCACATTTGTTCCCCCTTTAAACTATACTCTCTACTTCCCACTCTCCTCAGCTGATGACCCCCACTTCTGTGTTATCTGTGGCAGTACTTCACACACTCTTGTGTTTGTCTTTCCTACCTAGATGTAAACTCCTCAAGGGTGGGCACTATGCTCTGTTCATCTCTGTATGGCTGGCATCTATCACAGTGCCTGGCACACTGAGGATGTCAAGGCATCCTCTATTTGGTTGGAGGTGGTGGTAGAAGCCTGCCATCAGAAGGGGTGCTTTACAGCACCCTCTCTCATCTTGTGAAGACTCTCATGATAAAAGGTCTAAGCAGCAAATTGTCACTGCTGGATCCTGTTTGGCTTGGCCAGCCTGGGCGGCTGCTTTGTTTAAATTCTGAATACCTCTAGGTGGGGCACACAGACCATGACACACTCTCCATTCATACCTTATTTCCATGACACAAACACTGTCTCCTGGTCCCTAAAGGCACTTGAGTTTCAAGTCCCAGAGCTAGCACCCAGTACTTCAACATGGAAGGGACTTTAGGGAATCATCTGGCTTTGTGACGTGCAACCATGGAACATATCAGAATTTTTTTTTTTTTTATTACGTGTTGTCAAGTCAGTTTTGACTCATAGCAATCCTGTGCGCAACAGAATGAAACACTATCCAGTCCTGCAGCATTCCTCAATTGTTTTGTTCGCCTCTTGTTGCTGCCACTGTATCAGTCCATCTCCTTGACGGTCTTCCTCTTTTTCACTGACCCTCCATGTTACCAAGCATGATGTCCTTCTTCAGGGACTGGTTCTTCTTGACAATAAATCCAAAGTATGAAAGATGAAGTCTCTCCATCCTAGCTTTTATGGAAGATTCTGACTATACTTCTTCCAAGACAGCTTTGTTTGTTCTTCTGGCAGTCCATGGTACTTTTAGTATTCTTCACCAACAACATAACTCAAATGCATCAATTGTTCCATGGTGTTCTTATTTACTGTCCAACGTTCACGTGCATATGAGGCAATTGCAAATACCATAGCTTGGGTCAGGCACACCTCAGTCCTCAAACTGACATCTTTGCTCTTGAACATGTTAGAGAGGTCTTGTGGAGCAGATTTGCTTAGCTGCAGTATGTTGATTTCTTGACTGTTGCTTCTATGAGTGTTGATTGTGCATCCACCCCAAATTAAGTTTTTGAAAACTTCTATCTTTTCTTCATTTATCATAATGTTGTTTATTGGTCAACTCTACTTTGAGGAGGCAGCTCTTCCCCAGTTGCATTTTTAGTGCCTTCCAACCTGAGGGGCTCATTTTCCAGAACTATTTATGTGACAGGGTTTCTCTGCTATTCAAATGTTTTCAGTGACTAAATATTCAGAAGTAATTTGTCACTCCTTTTTCCTAGTCTGTGTTTGTCTGGAAGCTCATCTAAAACCTTTCCACCATGGGTGACCCTGCTGGTGTTTAAAATGCCCGTGGCATAGCATCCAGAATCACAGCAACTCACAAAGCCACCACAGTACGACAAACTGACAAAATGTGCAAAGATCTGGAGTCAGAAAACCAAAAAGGAATAACACACTCAGCATTTCTCAAGCTGGGTGAACTTAAAAAAAAAAATTCAAGCCTCGACTTTCATTATTGGAGGATTCTCTGGGCAAATTATTGAATGATACAGAAAGCATCAAAGAAGATGGAAGGAATATACAGAGTCACTGAACCAAAAGACAATGGTTGATGTTCAACCGTTTCAGTAGGCAGCATATGACCAAGAACCAATGATACTGAAGGAAGAAGTCCAAGGTGCATTGAGGGAATTGGCAAAGAACAAGGCTCCAGGAACTGATGGAATAAAAATTGAAATCTTTCAAGAAAGTGAGGTAGTACTGGAGGCACTCACTCATCTATGCTAAGAAAGCTGAAAGATAACTAACTGGCCAACTGGTTGGAAGAGATTCGTATTTGTGCCCATTCCAAAGAGAGGTGACCCAAAAGAATGCAGAAATCATCAGACAATACCTTTGATATCACATGCGAGTAAAGTTTTACTAAAGGCAATATTGAAACAGCTGAAAGCATATATTGATAGAGAACTTCCAGAGGTTCAAGCCGGATTCAGAAGAGGTTGAACAAGGGTTATCATTGTTGATGTCCAATGGATCTTGCCTGAAAGCAGAGAATACCAGAAAGATATTTACTGTGCTTTATTGACTACGCAAAGGCTTTTGATTGTGTGCATAACGGCAAGCTATGGGCAACATTATGAAGTTTGAGTATTCCTGAACACTTAATTGTGCTCACAAGGAATCTATACATGGACCAAGAGACAGTTGTTCGAACAGAACATGGGAACACTGAATAGTTTAAAATTAAGAAAGGTGTGCAACAGGGTTGTATTATTTCACCTTACTTACTCAACCTGTATGCTGAGCAAATAATCTGTTGAAGCTGGGTTCTATGAAGAAAAATGTGGCATCAGGATTGGAGAAAGACTCATTAACAACCTGTGATACGTAGATGATACAACCTTGCTTGCTGAAAGTGAAGATGACTTAAAATATTTACTGATGAAGATCAAAGAGCACAGCCTTTGGTATGGATTGCATCTCAATGTCAAGAAAACAAAAATCCTCACCACTGGACCAGTAAACAACATTCTTATCAATGGAGAAAAGATTGAAGTTGTCATGGACTTCATTCTTCTTGGATCAACCATCAACACTCATGGAAGCAGCAGTCAAGAAATCAAACAACGTATTGCATTAGGCAAATCTGCTGCACAAGACCTTTTTAAAGCATT